AGAAAGAATTGCAGAATGTCCCGACCAAAAAGAAAAAGATGAAGCCAGTAATTCCAGACTTTCAGATGAAGACGAAGATCCACGGAACGAAGGATATAATAATTCAGACAGTGGAATGTCATTTTCATCAGTGACACGCTATAATCTTGATACATGATAAAGATTCTCAATAATGCAGAAAAAGACAAATGTGCCAACAGAAAAGAAGAAAAGATGAAAGATTCTCTCAAAGTGGCGATAAAAGTTCACTATTTAACTTTAGACTTTTTCTCTTTTATTGATAGAATTCTTAGACTTTTTTGTAAAGTTGGTAGAAATCTTGTAAAAGAAAGATTCCCAACTGTAGAACTTTTGAATTCTTAGCAAAAGACATAGGAACTTTTGAAATTTTCCTTGCCACTTGTTAGATTTTAGAATAGCCAGAAGCTTCTCGATGAAACGTGTGTCTTTCTCAAGGATAGTTTAAACCTTTTGCTCCCAAGAATTTTTCTATTTAAGAAATGAGTTTCATTTGGTTTAAGCAAAAATTTACAACCTGTGTACTCTCTGCTATCTAAAAAACCCTTGAAACCTCTCCTCTAGAAAAATTCTCAATCCAAAAAATATTGTGTAGCTGAAACACTCTTGTGAATATTTAAGGTATTCTTTTACTTTCTTAAATTTATTTTAGAACTTTAGGGACTTCCCGAAAGGAAAATCCTTAGTTGTAAATCTTTTTAAAGATGAATTTATAAATCTCTGATTTATGTTTTAATCTTTTATGTTTATGTCTTTGTTAAAGTAAATATTTGTTATATTTATCATTTCATCATATGCATATAATAAAAGCATAACTTGATTTCTAGAAGCCATACTGTTTTTAGGTTAATCCTGAGTGACCCAGATAGGTGAAAACTTTTGGCCGGAGTGAGCCTTTTGATATTTTCCAAAGATGCTGGGGAAAGAGATAAATTAATCTAAAAATTTTATAAGGGAGTGTCACGAGTAACCTTATAGAAAGGAATCAAGTTCAAGTTTATATGTCATAGGTGGTGAAAATTTAAATGAAAAAAATGGGATTTATATATGATTCTGAAGAAAGATTTATAGAAAACTAAGGAGAGTACTAAGTAGAATTAAATTTATTAAAAGTTTAAACAAAACAGCCTATTAAAACAACATACTATATATATCAAGAGGACAGGTGAGCAGTGGCAGGACATCTGAGATTTTATATGTAAAATATATGTTCCTGCCATGCACTTCAAACCAAAGTATAGACTGAAACTAATCCCAATACTAAGAGCCTGTTTGGGAGGGATTTTTTCCCTCCAAAAAATTGATTTTTTTGCCGTTATTTCCCTATTCCAGTCTTCATATTTGACTTCTTCTCTCACAGGTGGACCTCACTTTTCTCCTAACGATCAAAAAATCAATTCTCAAAATCACTCCCAAAGAGGCTCTAAAAGAATGGTCTTTGTGACGGCCCTCATCTAAACAAATAGCTAACCAACAGTTTGCTTTAATCAACACAAACTGTAGAAAATTTTGACCATAGAATCCTGTCTTTAAATTGCCAACCGGTCTGAGGCAACACCCCCTCCAAACCTCTTCCCTTAAGAAAAAGAAAAAGGAAGAACTGGAGAGGAACTATCGTATTCACTACTGGTGTAAATAATTTACACAAATGGCTTAAAATTGGCCCCAAAAATCAACTATTATCCCACTCAATAACTACAATATAATTACCGCAATAATATTCCCACTTGTATACATAAAATAAAAATTCAAAAACATTGAAAAGAAAGAAATTCTACAAACTCAATATAAAAATTGAGAGCATACCAAGTCAAGCTCCGCATTATCAGCCATTTGTAGTGCCTCACCTTTTGACACTATTCCAACCTACACAATGCAGAAGACACAAATAAAAAGCCCTTTTGTGCATCACTTATAATCTATACATAGTGTAATAGTCCAAGTACTCACCATGTTTTGCTGCTGATCAATAAGCCTAACTTTATCTGACCTATTTACAGAAAAAAGGAAACAGAAAACACCAAAATCAAATTCCCAAAAGTAAAATTCAAATTAAAAAAATCCTCTCTTTTTGCGCTATAAGATTAAAGATTTAATTTTTATGACAACTTAGAAAGGCTAAAGCTTAATAGTTACCTGATGGAAGAAATATCAAGTGCCTGTTCATCATTGGACTTGGGTTTTCCAGAGGACCCACCTCCTCCGCCGTAGCGGGATACAATAACGGTGGTGGCGGTGGTTGTAGAGGAGACGGAGGGCGAGCGGGTGGCGGGGCTTCGGAGGTGGAGAGTGAAGAGGTTGGGGTGAAAAGGGAGGGATCTGAGGGGTTTCGAGAGATGGAGTTTGAAGGGATGATGGAAAGTGCTGGTGAAACCAGCCATCGTGAGAGCCGAGAGTCAATTTGAGAACAGAGAGTGGATCTTATCCGTTATTTTAGCTTCTTTCTTTCGGCGGTCACGTGATGTTGCCAAGGATGTCAATGATATTTCATGTCATGAATTATAGAAAAGGCTATAGAACTCTTTTGGTAATTTTTCTTCTTTTCAAATATTGTTTCCGTTTACCAGACTTCTTTCCTTGATAATTTCTTTCCTTTTTATCATAAATAAAAATTTTATTTTCCTCTTCATAATAAATTAAAATTAGATCCAACAATCAACAAAGAAATTTCCGCCTGTAATTTGTAATTTGACTTTTTCATTTTATAATTTTCAATTATTCTTGTGATGAACAGATCATTTCACCATTTTTAATAACAGCAATAGATCCTCTTGTCTCTTTTTGTGTGACTTAATTATCACAGCTCCACATCCACTACATCCTGCAACTTCACCCAAAAATAAAAATAATAAAAAAATAAATAAAAAATCTTCTTTTAAAGCCGTAAATTTTATGCTTCTAATAGACCCTTTAATGGCGTAATAACTTTTTGTTTGCATTACATACCACGTAAGCAAAGAGCTTTGTTACAAGAAAAAAAGAAAGAAACTTTCATTCCATAATGCAACCCTTTTTTACATACTACAAGCTATAAATTTAATCATTTAAGAAAATATGGCTACATGTACACTTTTGACTTCTTAGTAATTTAGTCAAACTCTTCAATCCTTGGCCCAACGCCCCTACTAGAGACACCGAAACCATCACCACTACTAGGCATGTCTTCAACCATAGGTGCACGGGTTCTTCTACATGTACACCGAGTTTGACACCCCGGTGTACCGACCCCCTCACAAGAGGGGGGGCCCGACAAGTTGAAAGAATTTGCAATCCTATTATTTCGAAGATGTAACAGGGCGATGGTAGTGATCCTACGATTTTTCTAGTTGTACACCGACCCCCTCACAAAAGGGGGGCCCACGATATTCGGCGTGGGCCCCCCCTCTTGTGAGGGGGTCGGTACACCGGGGTGTCAAATGGAAGACATACCATCTGTTGACATCATGACTGAACTTCTCCATCGAATGAAGTGCGCTTCCAAGACTGACAAACGCCTTATTCTCATTGGTATTACACCTGTGTGCACTTGTGTTGCCTGTATTTTTTATTAATGCGAATTTTAGTGCATGAATGTGATTTTCCCAATGGGATTTCAGTTAATAATAATAATGTTTATGAGTTCTATTTTTATTTTATTTTTTGATGTGACATGCGTGAGAAATGATTTTGATAAGTGTAATTTGTGCACTTATTTAGGTCGTGTTACTAAACTTTTATGTCGTTAAAATTATTAATTTCTATTTTAACTTGGGTTAATTTTCTTTTGTTTTTAGTGATGGACTTGTTTGAAGCAATTGGAAAGGAAGAAAGACAAGATCGAATGAAACCTATAATTTTGGGATCAAATTTCACAAGTTAGAATTTGATAAGGACATTGGTTTTGATGGATTTAAGGACTAAATTGCATTATTTGAGAGAGAAGAAACCTTGGGGAGAAAATTTGCAATAAATAAGCAAAGGAATTAAATGGGCCTCAATTGGACTTGCTCTGGAATTCAAATTCAATATTTATTTGGACTTCAATGAACAAAGGTGGCGACAATTTACATGTAGATATACAGCGCAGAGAAGAAATCGAATAACAATAGGATTCTTTTTGGAGTCAAATATTGCAGTTGCCTGCTATATATTACACACACACACACACAGAAAGAAAGTGATTTGATTTCATGAGTGAATTACCCAAATGGTTACTGAACTTTGTAAAAAGTTTCCACGAGGGTTACTGAACTTTAAAAATTATCCAATTCATCACAGAACATTGTAAAAGATTTTTACGTGGTCATTGAATTTTAAAAATCACTTCATTCATCACTGAACTTTACAAAAGGTTTCTCAAGGGTCACTGGCCCTGGTTTGGGAAACTTTTTTGCAAAATTCAGTAACAAATGGGATGATTTTTAAAGTTCAGTGACACCGTAGGAACATTTTGCAAAATTCAATGACCATTAGGGTAATTGACTCTTGATTTCATATACATAGAAAACAGCGATTGAGGTTGAAAATATGCCCCTGTTTGATTAACATTAAATTAAATTACATTACATTCAATTTTTCTCTCTCCTATTTTCAACCATACAATTTTCTATAAAATAATATTACACGTAAATCGAAAACTTTACTTTCTTTTTCAACCACTCATTTTTCTGAAAAATACTATTCCCCCCATTACCATTTTCAGGTAATGGGGGCCAAACAGGGGCTATATATATACACGCCACACATACAGAAACAGAAGGGGAGAAGAAATAGACGGCTACTGTGGGAATTGGGAAGACAGAGGAAAAAAGGCAGCAAGGATTTATGTAAATACATGGCCATAGCTAGGATAATTATACACATACAGAAAGATGCAGACAAAAGAGAAAAGAGGCAGATGGCAGACACAACATCAAATGAATTATTTCAAAAATTTTGTACGATAATTCATCAATCATTGTGCAAGAATTAATCACGTTTCATCAATTTTTGATGATATCTTTTATTATTTATTTGTTTAATTCCAATGTTATGATTGGCTAATTTTTTTCATGTATTGGATGAAGAAGAAACCGTTTATTATTTATTTTTAATTCAAGACAAGTTATTTGGTTAAATTCTTGCAATTATTGATTAATCTTGCATATCTAATTTTAATATTTGATTGCTTGATCACTAATTGAATATATGGTTACTTGTTGTAATGCTGAGGGCTCACAAAAACACTGCTTGATTGACACATATGCAATAAATTTTAGGAATAATATTTATCATGTATACAATCTTTGAAATAATTGTGAAAATGAATGCATTTTATTAATTCGAATTCGAACTAGGAATAGATCCAGGTCGTGACTAAAATAGATTTAATTTGTCTTGGAAAAGAAAATTAATTTCAATAGAATTATCAATTGTCAAGATTGCAATAACGAAAATAGTTATGTAATTGAGAATTCGAATAGATGTTAATAGGTGGATTCGTAATCCAAAATAATTGTTCCATACACATAAAAAATTCGAATTTTACAAATTTTAGTGAATTAATTTATAATAATCACAATCACAAATCACTTTTGTTTGCTCGCCTTCAATATGATTAATGACTAATACACTCAATTGAATTTGACTCCATATGGGACGATACACGTAACTCATCACGTATTTGTTGGGTTGTGTGCTCATATAGTATAGTTTTGCTAATGTAAAAAATAACAATAATAATTTTTATATGGAATAAAATTATATTTACTCTATTTATTGCATTTATTTATTGAGCATGCGAAATTAAAGTGCCTGTGATCACTTGTGATAATATGAATTGGGTACTTGCGTTGAGAAGTACAGTGAGACACAACTTATATTTTGATCATAAATAATTTGTTCACAACTAATGTATAAGGGTTGACACTTTATATTGGAAGGTTGTAGTGTTGACCAATTCACTATTCAGATTTGTGATTTGTCCTTATCACAGAAATAGTTAAATGTAACACTAGTACACTTGGAGTGTATTGAACGGACCACGTATCGAATTTTATTCTATAGCATGACCTGTCCGGAGAATTAAATTCTACTTGACCACTGTGTATTTCATCTGAATCATTTGACAGGATTATATATATCTTTTCATGATTTTAATTGTTCTTTGAGTCATCAATGGGTGAGATTAATTTGATTGGTCAAATATCTCAATCAGTTGGGAACTTGAGAATGAGCGGAGTAGAGAACATGAATTCGTGTTGGGAACCGTCACCCCTGAAAATGGGTAAAGTGACTACTTGAGTATTTTCTGTTGAACGGTTAAAATTTGAGCTTAGTGTTTAGCAACGTCTAAACTTCGACATATGTGATTTGTTCACAGGACCGTTGAAAAAAAAAATGAAACCTAAGTTAGTGAGAATAATTAGAGGGGCAAAACGGTCATTTATGCTCGTACCTAATTATCGGATCTCGAATGAGGATAAAATACATATACAATAGAGCAGAGGAAAGATTACAGATTATTGGCTTCTGTGATCTTATATATTTCAAGGGTTCAGTCTTTTGTCTTTAGTGGAAAAAGCAAAGACTAATAATTAGATTGAGTGGTTTAGGGTCGACTAGACATGATCTAATTATTGAAACTTGGAAAATATATGCCCGATCAGGTCTCTATGGTAGCTCCATAAAGTATTGAAATTTAATTACGATAATTATAATAGTTTTGAGCTTAATTGTAATTATAATAAAGTTTTTTACTTAGTTGTAATTACTATGAAAGTTATAAACTTAATTGTAATTGTAATTGAAGTTCTAGAACTTCGTATGCAATTATATGTAAACTAATTAGAATTTGACTTAAATTAGAACTCCTACTTGAGTTTTAATTAGAACTCTTGTTTGGATGTGGAATTATAATTGTACTAGAATTATATCATATTTTTTTCTAAAAATAGAGACTAGATGGATAGAAAAGTACTACAACATTCGTAATTCCATAAGATTCAAATTTGTAGAGAGAAAATGAGAGAGAAATATATTATTTTCTTGTAGTCCAAAATCCAAGAATTAGTTTCTGGATTGATTGAAAGAAGGTGCCCACACACCGATGTAGTCTTTGCGTTGGAGAATACCAGAGAAGACTTGAAAGTTTGAAACAATAAAAATCTTGCAATTAAAAGGAGATGGAAGTTCGCGGATCAGAGTTATTTTAAGGTTGGTCATTGAACTTATATAAAAAATTCGAATTCTTTAATTTTGTTATAACATACACGTGAACATTTAGAAAATCTTGTTTATTGAATTAAAGAAAATTTTAATTTCTGATTAATTTCGCTTCCGCATTCCAACAGTATTAATTGTCAACGATCCCGTACACTCGCGAGTTTTGCACGAACAAGTTTCTTGTTGGTGTATGTGAGAGTTCTGTAGTTCTTTTTTTTCTTTTTTGTTTGAAGATTTGATCTTTCCACCAGGATAAATTATTTAGTTTTGGAAATCCATTTTTTGTTAAAATTT